GGGGGGGCAATGTTGACGTAGGTACTAGACAGTAAGCAACTAGGATAGTAAAGAAAAAAGAAAACAAAAAAAAAACAAAACAAAACAAAAATACAAAAATATTTAGCTTTAAGAGGGTTAGGCCTACCCTAAAATTAAGGAACGCTCGACCTCGACACGTGATATCGAAATGGGCGAAATCGCCTCTTGATATCACTAACTCTCCTGACTTCCTAATCGATTTCAATTTCTGATTTCCTTCGATGGCGTTCCTTTTCAGTTTTGCAATTTGGGTGGGATTCCCGAACGGCGGAAAGTAGTGTCATTTTCTTTCTTCTTCCAGAATTTCACCTGTGTCACTCACCGGACCGGCAGCAACATGCACATAATGGAACTGGTGCAGGCAAGGTCTCAGTCACAAGGTGACCCGCCGTCTGGCGCGACGGGGGTCGCGATTCGCCGATCACTTGTGTCCTTGTTTAGATACTATCGCGCTCCCAAGGACCGGTGTGAGTTAGGATACGAGAAAATTGCAGGAAAGGACACGAAACAGGAAATGGCAGGAATGCTATATCACTTCTGTGACGTTCATCATGTGAAGGAACTGAAGGCAATGCAATTTCGTGCCTGCTGGAATATGGATATCCCATCACACTGAACCACAAGAATGGATTCAGCCCTGAAAGTATTGCGTTTATTAGTGAAAAAGGCTGTCATACTGAATATGATTGAAAACTGAATTCCTTCCAGAGGAATACATCACATTCCAATGAATAGATAAAACGCAATGCAAACCCACTAATGATCTCCCAAGTTCGAAACTATTAATTCTTCTCTTCCTACCCACGGGAATGGCTTCCGAGTACTATCGGGAAAAAACTATTTTTCCTTGGTGAAGATTTCTTGGAATAGTCATCCATAGAGTTCTAGTACAACTTGGCTTTTGGTCAGAAACAAGTGCTTTCAGTTCGCTATTGGCCCTCGTGGCAGATGGATCGAAACCACGCGAAATCGTTCATCCTCCCGTCATCTCATGAGCATTAGAGTAGATTTACCTGGTCTAAGTAATGAATGTGATTTTTGATGGTTGAGGGCTGGAAAAAGATTGGTGTTTGTTTCGAATACGTGAAAAAATTAGGGTCTCCATGTATGAAAAGAGACTAACTACTGGACTGGGCTTGCCCATCTTGTTTTTTGGCTATATGTGTTTCCTGGGTGAAGATTTCTTGGCATAGTCGTTCACAGAGTTCTATTATAACTTGCGTGCTCGAAAATGGGCAATTCTTTGCTTTGAGAGGAGTTTCCTTTCCCGGGAGTGATTCAGTAGTTTAATCCATGTCGAACGTCTGGTTGGAACAGGAGCAAATACTTCTAATTTCATGCTCATTCTCATCGCAATCCCAACAAATCAATATCTTTCCCAGGTGCATCATGACTGCGCCCTTGAGCACCGCAGAATGCGAGGGACGAAACAAACGGAGACCTCGGTCTCCCTCAACCACTTGGAACCTTCGCTAAACGGGGTCTGTCACATGCAGATTCAACATTTCGCTATAAAATGCCATGCGAAACCGATCCGAGGAACAGAGTTGGAAGGTGATTCTTCTTGAGCGTCCAGCACCAGAGAGAAAATGAGGCTGATCCTCTTTATTGCGCTCTTTCTAAGCGCCACAGCGGTGAGTCCCTATTATTTCTCACTTTTGATCAATTCGAACATGCAATGCCATTCTTCATGCTGGTCATTGGTGTGACGAATGGGGTGACGCAGACTAGATTTAGTTCCTCATGGATCTATCAGGTCCCCAAAAAAGTATTTTCGTTTTTCTTTTTTTAAGTTGAATTTAGACCAAGCACAAAAACCTTGTTAGTACATTTTACTCGGTAAAGTAATTGCCATTACAATCTACAACTTTTTTCCACGGGGAAACAATATTGTAAATGCCGCGTCGGAAGAAATCTCTGTCTTTGGAAGCGAAGAAAGACTTTAATTCCTTTTCAATTCCCTCTTGCGTTTTAAAGTGCGGTTGTCCATCGAGAGGAAAAGGTCGTAGTCTGAGGGGAAAATTTCAGGCGAATAGGGTGGATCTGGCAGAATCTCCCAACCGAGCGTGTTGAGTTTTTCTCGCGTCACTTTTGCCATAGGAATGAAGGCGCGGAGGAACATAGTGTACGACGCCGTCTGTTGTCCGCTATGCACAGTACAATCCGACATACGATCGCTTAGTGTTGCTGTACAGTAAAAGTCGGTCCAGAAATGGTTCGTTTTTATGACGTGAAATCAGACAGAGCAGATCAGAAGTGGGTTGCGTTTGTTCTCTGTAGTCAAATCATATGGAACCCATTTGCGGACCTTCTAAATGCTATGCAGGTGCAATCTAACAGTTTCCTCGCTAACGCCAAGTGTCTCTGCGAACTGTTGACAAGTTTGGCTTGGGTCCGACGCGATCGGTACTTTCAGCTCATCAACATTAATGATGGATCTCCTTCCAGATTGGAGTTCATCTTGGTGTTTCATCGCCAGAATAAAATTAATTAAACCAATTTTGTGCTGTACGATCACTAACCGCGTTCTTTCCAAATGCCTTGCAGATTTTCCGAACAGAATGCGTCGCTTTCTTACCGAGTTAGAACTCGTACAACAAACACGCGCGAATAACTTC